CTGTGTGTCAGATGTAATGATTCAAGGTAATTTTCTCACTGGTATAGGAGGGGTACAGCGGGCATTGGAGTGGATTTCCTTCCTGCCCAGCTAATGTATTAGCGCTGGATTTTCTCTGTTAACTTTTGGGGTTACGTTTGAACGAGTTATTTGACAAGATGTTACTTTCCCCCACTTCCTAGAATGGCCCCGAGTTACTGCCTCGCACAGATATGCTGCTGCTGCTGACCAGGGTGATTGGAACAGGTTCTCCACGGTCGGGCATTGGAGTGGATTTCCTTCCTGCCCAGCTAATGTATTAGCGCTGGATTTTCTCTGTTAACTTTTGGGGTTACGTTTGAACGAGTTATTTGACAAGATGTTACTTTCCCCCACTTCCTAGAATGGCCCCGAGTTACTGCCTCGCACAGATATGCTGCTGCTGCTGACCAGGGTGATTGGAACAGGTTCTCCACGGTTACAGGTGAGCTGTCCACCTGGTCTGGTGATGTAAACCCCCAGGCAAAACTGCATCAACAGCTGAACCTAGGAAATCTATTCGTCAATTCTAAATCTCCAGTGCTGGTGCTTCATAGATATTCATCTACCACCAGCTGTTTTCATAGTGTCAGTATCTGAGCATAACATTGCTCTATTAGTTCTTCCCCATTTCTTCCCAAGTTTGTCCCTTCTAATTTCCTCTAGACCTTATGTAGTGATTCTTGTTCCTGCAGCAAAGTGGTGTACGGGTGTCTCATTCTGTACTAGTCAGGATGCTGATGGGGAAGAGAAGCAGAAATGCCTTTCCCAGCTAGAAAGCACAGAACCAAGTCTTTGCCTGGCTGTATGTTACACTGCCAACAGTCTGTCTGTTAGATTTTGTTTCCTTTATTGCAACATAGATTTACCCACCTACACTTTGTGGATGACCAGTGCAGTGGGACAGAAGGCTAGCAACGGGTTCTCGAACGCTTTGTAATTGTGTTTCAGGTTCTGGCGTCCAACACGCTGACAGCTCTGTGTGCCAGCAGCAGTGGAGAGGATGGCTGTGCCTATGCAGAACAGGAGGAGATTGATGTGTTACTCCAGGCCCTGCAGTCTCCATGCATGAATGTTCGAGATGCAGCTCTCAGGGTAGGCGTGAAGCATTTGTTTTGACTTCCCACTGAAACTCTTTGTGGAGGCAACAAGCCCCTGATTGGGATAGTTTCCATTTGTTAAGTGGGTCTCTGGGCTAAACTCAGTAGGAGGAAACAGTGACTACTGTATGTTCCCACTGTGGACAGTCAGAACATTGTTAATTGTGCTAAAGGGTCTGCACTGGGTTTGTGGTTCAAATAGCAGCTTTGGCTCCTCCCCATCTTCTCTCCCATACAGCCACATAAAGCTTTAATATTCTGATTGCCTTTAATAATGCAATTATTAAAGGAGGCCTGGTAGCACAATAGTATAGTAAAGGTTGCCTGGTGCATAACATCACAAGACCTTATTTCTGGTTCCTTATAACTTTGCTAAACTTCGGGCCGTTTGGGCTGAGATCTTTTGTGTCCACCTCAGGCTGAAAGTTTTTAGAGAATTTCAGCAAAAGCGGGTCAGCCACTTCTGAGAAGGGGACAAGAGATTGCTTTGTCCAAGTTAAAAATTCCTACTACAGATTTCCTGAGAAGCTCATGCATCCCCATGCTTTGGAGCAGGGATTAAATTTGGCAGGAGGGGATCCCGCTGGTGCCGGGGATGTCTCTCTTCCTGTCCTTATGTTAAAACAAAACAAGAATACCTGCCCAAATTTTGGCCAAGTTATAAGTCTTGGAAAAAACTGTTTGCAAACCTTCAATCGAGACTTGTTAGCCTTTTGGCAGCTAAGTTTTCTGAAGTCTCTTTGCATAGGGCATGCTGTATCCCATGGCTGCAGGAGCCAAGCAGACCTTTCCTGGCAATTGCTGCTCGCCACTGTGGCACCAGGCACAGGAACGGAGAGTGGCAAGACTTTTGTCTGCCCAGTGCTGCTCTTGCTGGCATCTGAGCAACGTGGAAGAGGTGGTTTTCTGACTCAAATGCAGAAAGGACAAGAGCCAGACTCAGTGTGGAGTATGAAAGGAGCAGACTGGGAGGAAGAGCAGGAGTAGTGAGTGATACACTGGGTCTGGGAATTGGTGCAAAGAGCAGATGGATACTGAGACTGGTCAGTCGAGATAGGGTCTGGAGGAAGGGATGACTAAGAGAGGATTATAGTGGGAAACTTGGGAGGAGGAGCCAGAGTTGGGGAAAGACTGGGATTTGGAGAGAAAGGAGACTTACACTGAGGGAGGAGTAGTCTCAAGCATGAAGATGAAAAACGCAAAAGGGTCTGTAACCACTAAAGAACACTCCCCTCCTGAACTTGGAATGTAACACAGTATTCCTTACGGGTTTTTTTATATATATTTCTTTGTCAATAAGTATCTGTGAAACTCGCTGGCGAAGTTTCATATACAATCTTCATTCTGACCTCTCTAAGCCTTGGAGTACTTGATTTGCAATCCTAACATTGTTTTAATGAAGCTTGTTTTGTATAGTTTGTTATGCTGGTGTTTCATTATCCAGCTCAAAAGAGCACAGGTCTTGTGAAGGAAGAACCAGTTTAGCTGCCCTGGTGCTTTTATTTCCCTTGAATCCTGGCATGGAATTAACTTTGAAGAATAACTTTCCTTCTAGCTTAGTATACGATTGCTATATCCAGTAAACTTCCAATAATCCGGCACCTTTAGGACCCAGGGGGTGCCGGATTATCAGATATGACGGACTATCAGAAGGGGGGGCTATGAGGGGTCTAGGGTGGGGTGGGGGGGATGCCACCCCAGACCCCTCACAGCCCTCCCTTCTGATAGTCTGTCTCTGCCCCAGGCATCCCCGATTCAGCCACTGCTGGTCAGTTTCAGCTGCTCTGCCCTGGGCTTCCCAGAATCACAGAGCTGCTGGGGTGCTGCCGAGTTGGTCTGGTAGCGCCGCCCCTTGGCGCTGTGAGACCATCCCCGGGGGCATCCCAACTGCTCTTGGGGATGCCTGGGGCAGAGCAGCTGGGGTGCTGCCAGGTTGGTCCCGCAGCACTGAGGGGTGGTGCTACAGGACCAACCCAGCAGCACCTCAGCTGCTCTGCCCCCAGCTTCCTCGATTCAGCTGCTGGTCAGTTTCAGCTGCGGCTGAATTGGGGAAGCCGGGCGCAGAGCAGCTCCAATTGTCCGGCTGCCCCGAGCACTTCCAGGTTCCCAATGGTGCCGGACAATCAGGAGTGCCAGAGCATTGGATGCCGGACCAATGGAGTTTTACTGTACCTTCTAAAACTGTACTTCTTGGTGCTTTCCTGTGGAAAACCAGGCAAGCATTTTCCTCAAAATGTGTGCAGCATTACTTAGATAATTCTTGCTCCTTTTATGGTATTTCTCACCATGGCAACAATTGCAAATTACTGTATATTGTCCTATTCATTATGGGCATGATTTCTGTCCTTTAATGGGCAATTATCTGGGTCTGGACTTCAAAGCAGCTGAGAGCTACTGCTTGGCTGCTATACCTAATTACATTGGTCTTATGTTCTCTCACCTCCTCCTCTTTAGTCCTCAGTCACTGTTTTATTAGTAATTATTGAGCAACTTTCGGCAATATAGCCCTTTTAAACTGCAAAATCTGTTCTTCAGAAAGGTGCATTCAACACTTCTTTTCTGTGAGAGTCCTGAATTGGTTCTTTAATCAAATATTAGTCTCTTTGTGTGGCTGAGAGATGGCGCACACAGACTAAAATTGAAATGGTTTTCCCCTCTTCCACTCCCATTGTTTATCTATTACCCAGTCTCTGATTTTGTGACAGATTTTGGAAAAAGGAAGTGTCAAGACACTCTTCAGCAGAAAGTTAATCTCTAATTTTCCTTTACATGGAAGATTTCCTATATTGTGATTCAAGGTCATCTTTGCTAGAGATAGCTATGGACACCAGACATTTGCACTAAGGTCCTTTCATTTCATTCAGGGACTAATGGAGCTGCAGATGGTGCTACCAACACCCGACAGTGATGAAAAGAATGGATTGAATCTGCTGCGCCGGCTCTGGGTGGTGAAGTTTGATGTGGAAGATGAGATTAGAAAACAGGCAGAGAGGTGAGATCTGTATTCTATTTGGTGGATTGTAGCAGTGATTCTTATTCATCTTCCCACATGGATCTGTTTAGGCCCTGTCCCCAAAAGGGTGCACCTTTAGATCAGACTGGTGTTCTGTGTTTAGGGGGAATCTCTAGTTGTCTGAAGAATGATCCTCTTTGTGTAACCTACAGGCTCTGGGAATCTATGAGTCTGGATTTGCAGCCTGATCTCTGTTCCTTGCTGATCAAAGATGTTATCTACTATGAGGAAGCAGTGCGGCAAGCTGGTGCTGAGGCTCTCTCCAAAGCTGTAGAGCAGTATCGAAACCAAGCCGCTGAAGTCATGAGCAAACTTATCGAGATTTACCAGGAGAAGCTCTATGTAAGTTGCTGCTGTAGTGTGGAGTTACAGAGACAAGCCATCCATGCTCAGTATTATACCCCTTTAGTCTGTGTACTTACCACATTCTTCTTTTGGTACCGTCCTACGTGCCCTTTGTTTTTTGTTAAATGTGGCATCGCAGATGTAGGAAGAATCATGGATCTAAATTGTCTAGGCTAAGTAGACCTGAGCTGCTAATAAACTTCTATTGTAGAACTTTGTTTTTTTCCCCTTATCTTTGTGTGTGTCCTTGAGAAGATGTGTTTGTTAAATGTATCCTTTTCTTCACTCACAGAGGCCACCTCCAGTTTTGGATGCTCTGGGACGGGTGATATCTGAGTCTCCACCTGACCAGTGGGAAGCAAGGTATTCTCTCTCTTCTAATTCTGTGCTTTCAGAACTAAATGAGATGGTTCCGTTTTTTGCTCATCTTGTTGTAGCGGATAGGACATTTTTGGGTCCACGAGTGTTTGAGGAGTAAACCCTTTGCATTTGTACTAACTGGCAATTACGTAGTCTCCCCTGTTATGGGACACTTGTCTCTCTGGACCAGGCTGTGCAGACGAATATGGCTTTGCATGTTCTACTGGAACATTTCCAGATCCATCACTATTGGCTTCAGAATTGTATCCCACTCAGTCTCATAAGAACAGAATCTTTTCCTGTCAAAATGGCTTGATTCTCAATCTCTGTTCTGTGCTCAAACAGTTGTTTCAAGAAGAGCAGCAGTTCTAGCCTTTGTGAACTGGACAAATTCCAACTTGGATAATAACATTCTGCCCACTTAAATGCTTTCTATAGTTTTAAATGGACAGCTGGTTGTTCACTACTTCCCTTAAATGAACCTGTTCCTTAGTGTCAATGTGCACTGTTATACAGTTACTGCGTTTCAGTGACATGAAGTGATCCTTGTTAGGGATGTGAAAAGTTAACCGGTAAGCATTGCCATTAATGGGTGATGCTTACCAGTGCTGTGGGCAGGGGACTGCACCAGACCTGCAGGGCCTGCCACAGAAAGAGGCTACTCCGAGCATCCAGAGTAGCTTGTCTGCAGTAAGGATGTTAAATTACATTTAATCAGCTAATAGAGTAGTCGATGGAATTTCCATCGACTACTCAATTAGTTGATAAGGGAGGAAACTGCAGAGCTGCAGCGGGATAGAGGCAGCAAGGGTGTGGAGAAGCAACAGTCAAGTAGTGACTCAACTACCCGGTAAGCCTAGGTTTATTAGGTGTAGTTAACTAATCAACTAGTCACTTACATCTCTAATCCACGGTGGCCTGGCCATAGCTCAGGCAATGACTGCTCCATCCCAAGCTTGGCAGTGTCTGAGAACAAGCAGAGCTAGCCCCAGCTTGGGGTTGGGAGGCTGGAGCAGTGAGATCCTGCTTAATCAGTTAACCAATTGAACATTATGTTACTCTAATGTTTAACGGATTAACTGATTAACCGGGATTTTACGTCCCTAATTCTTGTGTCTGGGTTTGTATAAAGTGCTTGAGATCCTTCCGATGCTAGTTGCTGTATGAATGCCAGATTATTCTTCCTTTGGAAACTTGCAGCAGGGAGCTGAAAGTGAATGGTTGTTGCTACTCTGGGATCATCACTTTGGGATCCCACTGTGTCCCATCACTTTGACACAGCTTCTAAGATATCCAAAGTGTTACAGTTCCCTAGTGTGTTCTCTGTTAACTGTTGAAACTGGAAGTGTGGTAGCTAAAAGGTCACTGATATGAGTCATGGAAGCCAAATTCACACAAATACATTTTTTATACAGATGTGGCATAGCCTTGGCCTTGAACAAACTCTCTCAGTACCTGGATAGTTCTCAGGTGAAGCCCCTTTTTCAGTTCTTCGTACCTGATGCCCTTAATGACCGTAATCCTGAGGTCCGGAAGTGCATGCTAGATGCAGCTCTTTCTACACTCAACACTCATGGCAAGGTAAGCTCAGATTCTTCTTCCCTTATCAATGGGAGTAAATGTAAGTTGGGAGTTGGATATTGTCTATATTAGGTGAGGCCAATGGTTCAAAGAAACTGTTGAAAACTTATATCTGATGAGAATTTCTCTAAGGTATTTTAAAATTGTTCCAGTAGTGATCAATACAAACGTAAAAGCCTAAGAGTCAGCTTTCACTTGTGATTGTAAAGCGGGGGTCCTTCCCTTGAAGTGTCTGGAACTGAAATGGTCTAAAATTAGACCAATAAATCAGAATTGGACTATAGGCCTTTGCTTGAAAGGAAAATAACAGTAACTGCTGGGAAGATGTCAGGTTGGCTTTGTCTGACAAGATGTCACATGTATAACCATAGCTGCTTTAATCTCACGATGCCAACATTCGAGAACTGTATATACAACACCCTATATTTATCAATATCTGTATACAAGATGTAGGAGACATTGCATACAACCTTACATCCTTTGGCATTTTAGAAATGAATCGTATAAATCCCCAAGATTATTGTAGCAAAAAAAAAAATACAAGTATTTCACAAGTAGGTGGAGTGTAGATCTGTCAAGAAAAGTTGAGTTGTCAAAGCCAACACACTGCACCCTGTCTGAAATCCCTCATCCAGGTTTCAGGGATATTTTTGTGGACTCTCCCCCTGCTCCTCTCCCCTCCCTCCTGCCCCCACAACTTCCTATAGTCCAGGAGAAAACTTGAGTATTTTCACCACTAGTTTGTGTGCCTTCTTACTCACCAGATGAGGAACATGAGGTGCACTTTCCTCTTCCATCTGTTTCTACTAATTCAGGGACACGAGAGTAAGTGCTGAATAGAGTTGTTAGCTAGCGAGTAATTGAGTAATCGTGTAACTGCATCAAATGTTAGTGGATATATGATGGTTCAATAGTCCCTGGGGCAGGGCCAGCAGCCAGTGCATTCTGATCCCATTCCCAAGGAGTCCCCTACCACCAGCAGCCTCTGGCCACGGGGGACTGACCTCCCCATGATTAGAGGCTTTGCGCTGGTAGTTGTGTGTGTGTGTGTGTGTGTGTGTCTCTCTCTCTCTCTCTCTCTCTTTTTTTTAAATAAATATTTAAGAACAAGCTATTCTTTCCCAGGAAATAATCCTAGCTCGTAGGATGCCCCATGTTTCTAAATACTGTAAATTGTTTGCATGGTTTTTGTCTCTGATAAAGATAGCCAGCAATGTTGGAGCAAGACAAACCTCTCTCTGAGGTGACTCTGTGACTCTCGTAGCAGGTGACACGTTCTAAATTTGATCTTTCAGGAAAATGTTAACTCTCTCTTGCCGGTGTTTGAAGAATTCCTGAAAAATGCTCCAAATGATGCCAACTATGATGCTGTCAGACAGAGTGTGGTCATTCTGATGGGCTCCCTGGCAAAACATTTGGACAAGAGTGACCCTAAAGTGAAACCAATTGTTGCCAAACTGATAGCAGCACTGTCCACTCCATCCCAACAGGTACCTCCTCTTTTTCAGGAGCCAGGTTAATTCTCTGACTCTTTCAGGGATTCCATGACTCTCTGCCATCCCTGACTCATGGTCATTCCTGTGCTGGGAAAATGGACTCCAGGTACGACAATAGTAGTGAGGTAGAGCAATGGCTTAAGAGGATTAAAAAGGGAATGGATATTCTCTAAGTCTGTGGTCCAGATACCACAGGGTCCACAAACTGTGTTTAAGATTTCCAAAGTGAAATCTCCATTGGAAATTTTTTAGGAGTCCAAATATAAAAAATGTTGGAAAACACTGCTATAAGCAGTTATACTATGTGGACAAACATGAGAAGGCAGAAACCTATCACTGGGCACACATACTAGTGGATCAGAAAAATGAGTGGGGGACCAGTTATTGGGTTAGTGACATGCCACCTTGTGATCTGTTTGCTAACCAGGAATCCGTGGCTAGCTGTTTACCGCCTCTTGTGCCTGCCATTAAAGATGATGCAGGAGGGATGATACAGAAGCTAATGCAGCTGCTTTTAGAGTCTGATAAGTATGCTGAGCGCAAAGGTGCAGCTTATGGACTGGCAGGGCTGGTGAAAGGCCTTGGCATCCTCTCTCTCAAACAGCAGAAGATGATGACCACGCTGACTGACGCCATTCAGGATAAGAAGAATTTCCGCCGGCGAGAGGGTGAGCGGCAGGCATTCTCCTCTCCATTTCTGTCAAGCTGTCTATATTTGATCTGCTGACACTTGTCCCAGACTTATACTTCATCCATTTACTTAGGACTGGCTGACTTTCATAGGAAATCCTGTATGTGGTTACTCTTTATTTCCTGATTTGATACTGTTAAGAGTAGGAAATGTGGGTCTCCTGAAACCTTGATTTCTATTGTATTTTAACCTCCTTTTCCCCTCCTCCAAATATCACCACACTGTAGAAAAGGGGAAAGGGTCTTAGTCTCTGAGTGTATCCTGTCTCACCTCTCTCCCATCTCAGATGAGTGTGTTGCTAGAGAGGATCTTCCTCTCCTCAGTGCAGTAATTATATATAAGTTAGCTAGCCCAGGGGTGGCAGTGGGTTTTTAAAACCTCTTCATTGCATTTACTGATGAATGCTTTCCCATCCTTATTTCTCTTTCCTTCAGTCTGATCCTAACTTACGCTGGGACTCAGAAGGTGCATTTTTAATGTGTCCACCTCTGTGCTGTCTCTGGGAGCAAGAGTCCCCAACACAAAACTCCCCTCTGGTTAAGGAGGAGAAGGAATGCCCCAGAGGCTTCTGGATCAGAGTTTCCCACAAAAAAATTATCTATTGGCTCCTCAGGCGAATCTGGTCTTCACTTCTGATCTCGCTTAGAATGGTGTGTTATTTCCTCATTATCCTATCTGTTTCTCTAGGGGCACTGTTTGCCTTTGAGATGCTCTGCACCATGCTTGGGAAGCTCTTTGAGCCCTATGTGGTTCACGTGTTACCCCATTTGCTGCTTTGTTTTGGAGATGGAAACCAGTATGTGCGAGAGGTAAGAGGTTCCTGGGAGTTAACAGCAAAAACTATTCCTATTCTGCTTAACTGTTTAAGTAAAGAAACCAACAAACCCTTGGACAAAGCTAGTAGAACTTGATTTAATTGATAATCAATAGCATCATATTCCATTGGAGGAATGGGGCTGTCTTTCAACTAGCTGCACTGTTGGACATGCACACTGTTGTACATTAGGGCCAGGGTCCCACTGGCTCTTTACAGGAGCAGATGAAACTAGCATTGAGGCAGATTATAAGTGTCCTCTTTCCTCCTCTGAGGCTGCAGATGACTGTGCCAAAGCAGTGATGAGCAATCTCAGTGCTCATGGGGTGAAGCTGGTGCTACCATCGCTTCTGGCGGCACTTGAGGAGGAATCTTGGAGAACCAAAGCTGGTATGGACTAGTGTTTGTCTCTGCTGTAGCTCAAAAGAGCATGAAGTTCACTTGTCTGGCTGAGTGCACACTGCCCGATCTTGTTCTTTTTGTTATGCTGCAATGGAACATACAGCATTTTGAATGAATGCTTTGTTTATCATATGTCTCAGAACATATTCAAGCAGCATTTTCTTGTGGCTGGATTCTAAGAAATGTGTCTTGCGGCTACTGATGTAGCTAAAGAGCAAGGATATTCCCTCGCCAAACCCTGTCTTGCATACATAAGTTCTGAAAATTTCCCTTTATTTAAAACTCTCAGCAATGTCTGTGTTTTCTGGACTGTTTCTTGGAGCAGGGCCAACTTTGCATTGAACACTGTGATTGCCAGTCACTTCTGTGACATTAATTTTCTCTTACTCCGTGTCCAGGGTCCGTGGAGTTGCTGGGGGCTATGGCATACTGTGCCCCAAAACAGCTCTCTTCCTGCTTGCCAAATATTGTGCCAAAGCTCACGGAAGTGCTCACAGACTCCCATGTGAAAGTGCAGAAGGCAGGACAGCAAGCTCTTAGACAAATTGGCTCTGTTATCAGGAATCCGGAGATCCTGGGTAAGAACTCTGTGCCTGTTTGTGTGCATGTTAGTGGTTTGATTGCGGAGATATGATCCTCGCTTATAACGGTGTCGTAGAGCAGGGTCCTTTTAAATTATGATCCGATTGAATCACGTAAACTTGAAACAAAATCCATTTTTAGAAAGGTATAACCTGAAAACCTCAACACAAATGTCTGGTTTTCATGCTTTCTAAATGTACTCTGAATCTTCTTCACTAGTGTCAATAGGGTTATCTTTGCCATTTCTAATTTTGTCATTCTTTAGTAGGATTAGCACTTTTTTGGGTGGATGCGAAGACACCAGTTGCGGCTGAAGCTGTCTCACTCGTCTATTCCATGTACAAACATAGCATTTTTCTCTCCCATATTGAATTGTGTAGCAATTGCTCCAGTATTGTTGGACGCTCTCACTGACCCATCCAGGAAGACCCAGGAGTGCCTGCAGACCCTGCTGGATACCAAGTTCGTCCATTTCATTGATGCTCCGTCTCTGGCCCTCATTATGCCCATTGTTCAGAGAGCCTTTCAAGATCGTTCCACAGACACCAGAAAAATGGCTGCTCAGATCATTGGAAACATGTACTCCCTGACTGATCAGAAGGTATAATGCTGGGGAGAGCTTTCCAGATAAACACTTCACTCACTTGGAAAGGAAAAATAGACTAACGGGCAAGAGACTAGGAATATTTTATTGGTGTCTGGGTTTTTGTTCTTGGTAAGAGTATTATGAGAACTCTGAGCAGTTGCACTGACTAAACATGGATGTTAAGTGAGCAAGTGAATTCTGCAAAGTGAAAATCTTGGAGTGGTTGAGACCATCAACTTTTAAACTTTCCCCAGTAGTGCCATATACATTCTCCAAACAAGTCTCATAAACGACTCTATGCTCTAAGAGAAATGCCTCCATAAATCCACTACTTCTGAATTAATTTAGAGATTTTCAGTGTTCTCAGAAGGAAAAGTTGAACTGACTATAGATTGAAGATCTGTGTGTGATTCCTTTATTCCTGCTTACGCTCTAAAATTAAACATTGCATTGAGGGGGGAAGAGGCCAGGATTTAATTTAGGAAACAAAAGTAATGTTATGAATCAGCATGAAAGGTTTTTGTTTGGCCCGCCTAGTGTTCTGTAAAGACTGTGGGGGACAATGGAGTCAATTTGTCTATTGACAGTGCTGTGGAGGCAGCATATTAAGCTCCCAGGGTAGAGCTATATGTAATTTTGTTATTAGAGAAAGATGAAATTCTGAAGGCTCAGTTTTCTTTTTGATCCCAGCACTTAAACACTGGGCTCTTTCTTTCAGGATCTGTCTCCTTACCTACCTAGTGTGACCCCTGGATTGAAAACCTCTCTTTTGGACCCTGTACCTGAGGTAAGGCTTGATAGCATACAGCTGTACTCAAGTATGAAGAGTCTTTCTCCCTGATAAATTAGGATTAATCCTAATCTTTCCACAAACTAATTTGTGGTTAGAATAGTGAGAGGAGCAATAAAAGAGACCAGGGAAGGGAGTGAAGACTCTGTCTTGATGGTTTTCTTTGATTAGCTATTTTGCAACTCTACAAACCTCTCTTTGTACGTAGGTGCGTACGGTATCTGCGAAGGCATTAGGAGCCATGGTGAAGGGCATGGGGGAGTCATGCTTTGAGGATTTACTGCCATGGTTGATGGAGACACTGACATATGAGCAGAGTTCAGTGGATCGATCTGGTGCCGCTCAGGGTAAGTTTTACAGGAGCTGAGCAATGGTGCTGGAGATTTTTAGCGTGGCCAATACAGTATTTTGTGTGTCATTGTGTGTTTGTCAGTTCTGAATTGGAGTGTTGTTTTTCAGGTCTGGCTGAAGTCATGGCAGGGTTGGGGGTAGAAAAACTGGAGAAACTCATGCCAGAAATTGTAGCTACAGCCAGCAAAGTGGACATTGCACCCCATGTCCGGGATGGTTATATCATGATGTTCAACTACCTACCCATCACCTTTGGAGACAAGTTCACCCCCTATGTCGGGCCAATCATACCATGTATCCTCAAGGTAAGAAGGAGATTGACGTCTTATAAAAGGGAAGGATAGGAAAGGTCTCAGGAATTTCTAAATGCCTAGTAGAGTAATCGAGATTTGCATGTCACTGTCCGTAGTGGATTCTATTCTTTTCTCTTCCAAGGTCCTTGATAGCATTGTTTGCTGGGTTTTGTTTGTGGTTTTTAGTAAATGCTTAACTTAGAAGACTGGGAAATGGGAATAGGTCTCCACTGGGGATTCACTGGTTTGTAAGTCATGTCTGTTAATGGACGAGGGGGAGGAATGCACCATCTCATTGTGTAAAAGTCAAGTGCCATCTATTTGATATTTTCTTCCACGTTGAAAACTTTATTCTGATTTGTCTCTTGGTCTAGGCTCTTGCAGATGAGAATGAATTTGTGCGAGACACCGCACTTCGTGCTGGTCAGAGAATCATCAGCATGTACGCAGAGACTGCAATCGCTCTTCTCCTGCCTCAGCTGGAGCAAGGCCTCTTTGATGATCTTTGGCGAATAAGGTAAGGAATATGTTTTTACCTCTGCAGTAACCATCCTTCTATCAATGGAACCTTGGGTGAGTTGAGGGACTCTCAGTGTTGCTATTTGAGAAAGTGTATGGGCTGTTTTGAAACAACAGGCTTCCCCTTCTACACATGGGCTAAGTGTGTTGCCTTTGTGGTAGTACTCTCATACTAAGAATCGGGAGTGGAATATGGAACATGCAGTTTATCCCATGTGGTAGTGCTAAGCACTTGTGCTGGTTCTCTTAGCTAGTTGGCAATTTTAAAATGCTTTTTCCAGCATTCTATAGTAATATTTAGCACTCTCAAACACATACTGTGTTTCTTTTTTCAAAGTAGTTTTAAAACAGATATTCCCCTGTGTGTGGAAACAAAGTAGAAAGAGCCCTGGTCATAGCTGCTAATGTCAAAAATTAATTATGTAAAATGGCAAGTGATGAGTAAGGATGTTAAGGACTAGTCAACTATCTGATAAGCAAATGCTTATCGGATAGTCAGTCAGCTAGTCGCTTTCCTCCCCTTGCTGCCTCTATCAGTTAGAGACAGCAAAGGAGGCGAAGAGGAGATATTTCAAAGCGGCAGCGCTGCACAGCTGATCCTGGGCTCCATGCAACTCTGTCCCTTTGAATTGCCACCGTGGTGTTTCAAAGTGACAGTGCTGTTTGGAGCTAGGGTCAGCTGATGACTCTATGCGGCATTTCAGACTCTCCAGCTGATCCCAGGTTCCATGAAAAAGCCGCTGACCCTGGGCTCCATGCAAGTTCCCCGTGGACCCCAGGCTCTATGCGGTACTGACACTTTGAAATGTACAAGAGCCCTGCCCCTGGGAACTTTCAAATAGTCGTGTAACTGACAATATTTTGTGCAGTTACACAACCGTTCAGTTATCCGATATTGTACATCCCTCGTCTTAGATGTTTTTACTCTTAAAGTTTAAAGAGAGGTGAAAATATGCATATGGGTATACTATATGTGTACACAGGTTATTTTGATCTTTTTAGTTCAGATCAAGGCTTAGCTGTCATCTTTTGATCTGCCATCGTAACGCTGAGGCTCTCAAATTTCCATTTTAGTTTGGAATTCTCTCCAATCTGTCAGCTTTCTGTGATCTTTCTCAGTCAAATTGATGGAAGGCTCTTTATGGCATCTCATATACTGGTTCACATTTAACTGGTTCTCTCCCCCATCATTTGCTCCCACGGCAGTGCCTAGGATAAGAGTCAGTTTGGATAGGAAGTGCTTGTTTTCTTTTTTTTGCCTGTGACCCTGCTCTTTCTCCCTTTGTCAGGTTTAGCTCAGTTCAGCTCCTTGGGGATCTTCTGTTCCACATCTCAGGAGTCACTGGAAAAATGACAACAGAAACTGCCTCAGAGGATGACAACTTCGGGACAGCCCAGTCAAACAAGGTAAGTGCTGTTGTCTGTTGCTGTGTTCCTTTTTGTGGAGTGACCTTGATCTTAGCAGTACTTCTTCACATTTTTTTTCCGGTGAAAAGTCCAGTCTTGGCTTCATTGGTTTCCCTGTATTTATTTCAGGCCATTATTACTGCTCTTGGTGTGGAACGGCGAAACAGAGTTCTGGCAGGTCTGTACATGGGTCGATCAGACACACAGCTCGTAGTTCGTCAGGCATCCTTGCACGTCTGGAAAATTGTGGTCTCAAACACACCTCGCACACTACGTGAAATTTTACCAACCCTTTTTAGTCTTCTGTTGGGGTTCTTGGCCAGTACTTGTGCAGACAAGAGAACGGTAAGAGTTCTGCACATGTGTTACTCTAATGGCTACTGTGAACATAACTGGTGTTTGATGAATGTGGTTAATATTTGAATAAGCCGCCCCAAAGCTACCATTAACTTAAAGTTCTTAAATACACATGGGTGTCTTCTGTTCACAGCCCGCTTATTCAAAGCAGTTTTGGTGAAATAAATATTCTTTTAAACATCCCTTTTCATAGCTGTGTTCCTACCTTCACTGATCACTAACTCTGCTGTGAACACTTGCTTATGGATAAAATGTGGCATATAAGAGTACAACAAATAGAGTCTTAAAAAATCACGACAGTCATTAAGTTTCATGTGGCTAAGAAGTTGAAATGATGGGTTTTCCGATAGGGATGTCATCGGATAGTCATACGATTAGCCAATAAGCCTTGGCTTATCAATTAATCTTAACCATTGCACACATTCTCCCCCTTGCTGCCTCGGTATCAGAAGATGTAGGAGCCGGTGCCCGTAAGGAGCTAGCTTAAAAGTCAGCTCTCCACAAGCACCAGATCCGTCTTCCCTCTCTGCCTTTCCCCCCATCCCTTCTGTGCTGCTGCATCTCTCTATCTATATTGAGCGTGGACCCTTCCACAGACAGGGATTACTGCCACCCGGTCCTGCTGCCTCTGTTTCAGAGGCTTCTCATGGGGAGATGGTGTCTTTTAAGCTGGCTCCCCTCATGAACCAGGTCTCCCTGTCACCTCATGCTGCTGCCTCTGATAGCATTGTGGGGAGGGAGAAGTCTCTCTGGGAGTGGGGCTAGGAGCTCCCTGGCTGCCAGCTCTGCCTCTGGGAACTTTCAAATAGTCGTGTAACTGACGATATTTTGGGCAGTTAAACAACTATTCAATTATCTGATATCGTACATCCTCATTTCAGATGTTTTTACTCTTAAAGTTTAAAGGGATTTGAAAATATGCACATGGATATACTATATGGAGTGACAGTATGGACTGTATGTAATGAGTGTACACTTTGTCTAGATGCAGTCTGTATTTGTCTGAAACACTCTGATGCTCTGAGGGACATAACTACAGGTTGAAACTCTTTAGTCCAGCACCCTTGAGACCTGAGCAATGCCAAACTAGAGAATTTGCTGAACCTAGGAGGTCATAATTGTCTAGTAACATTAGCAACATTTCCACTGTTTACTGGGCTCTTAGAAGACATTTAGGAGCAAATTAGAGCTAAATAACAGCACAGAACACTGAGAACACGGACTGGTGGCTGTAAACAAACTGGGACCATGAGAAACTTAGCTACACCCAGGATAAGTGGACATTCGGCTAACTGAAATAATGCCGGACCAGAGAGGTTCAACTTGTACCTTAGATTTTTCACTAGTTGCAATGGAGTGTTCTAGTTTAGTTTGGGGTTAACACGTCCTAGCTAGTTGCTTGTGATAACTGTTCAGAGTGACTCTGTTCATGATTATTGGGCTCAGGTTGCAGCACGAACGCTGGGAGATCTTGTTCGAAAGTTGGGAGAGAAGATCCTTCCAGAAATCATCCCTATCCTAGAAGAGGGCTTGAGGTCAGAGAAGAGTGATGAGCGGCAAGGTGTCTGCATTGGTTTGAGTGAGATCATGAAGTCCACCAGCAGGGATGCAGTAAGTTTAATTCCAGAGGGGACATTTAAAACTCCTTAGCCTGTGCCTTGAAGTTAAGGGATGAAGACGCAGCAAACTTGCTTTATGAATTGCCATAAAAGGAACTGAATTTCAGGTCTTCTAACTAATTGGAACTTGTCCAGATGAAAGCATACATTATTTTATATATATATATGAAAATATGTCTGTGATTGTCAGTCTTAAAATTGTGCAGTCCGTCTTCAGATTATGAGTAGTAAAGTTGAAAACATCTTTTAAAATTAATCTAGCTCATTATGGATGTTACAGATTTTCACACAAATTAATCCAATCCATCTATAATTTCCATCAATTAATTTTGAGTAAAGTGAAATTTATTTTCTGTTGTGTAATCCATGAATTCCTAGCTGTTGTGTCTAGGTGTAGCTATGCTCTAGTTGCCATGAACAAGTCCTGTAACTGTATCTATATATCTTATAGGTGCTGTTCTTCTCAGAGTCCCTAGTTCCTACAGTGAGAAAAGCTCTGTGTGATCCTCTGGAAGAAGTCAGGGAAGCTGCAGCTAAAACCTTTGAACAGCTGCACTCAACAATTGGATACCAGGCACTTGAAGACATCCTGCCATTTTTGTTGAAGCAGCTGGTATGTGTTTCAGAAGTCTCATAGTAGGATAAGTTTTGAAATTCTTGCTACAGGCTGAATGAGGAATTGACCTAATGCTAGGGAAAGGTCACCATACTAATGATTTCATTTCATCCCTGTAAGAAGAGAAGGAAATGGTCTTGTAGCTAATGTATAGGACTAAGAGTGGGACCATCTCTGGGAACTCTTCTGGGCCTACTACACGTCTCCACAGTTATTTTGGAAGTCTCTTAACCTCTGTGCATCACTATGGAGATTCTTCTCAACCTGAGAGGGAGTCTTGATTAAGTATCTGAAAAAGGCTTTGAGAGAGCCCCAGGTGGAATGACTTACAGAGGTGTCAGTTATCTGATTATCCCACAGATTGTCACTTGAATCTGAGTGTAGTTTGCTGTGTCAGAGATGGTCTTTTAGGCAAGCTGGCTAACTCCCATACTCTCTGTAGGATACTGAAGAGACAGCCGACTTTGCTCTGGATGGTCTTAAGCAAGTTATGGCTGTTAAGAGCCGTGTGGTGTTGCCTTACTTGGTGCCAAAGGTATGTTTCATAACACATCTAAACTTTGGAGGCTGTTTTATTTCTTTTTGCCTCTGCGCCGATGTTCAAAAATGGGGGAAAACATTTTTAAACTTTGCCCAGACGACTTGCCAGAAGCATGAACTGTAATTTGCGTTCTGATGGACCCATGATTAAGTATTGACTGTTCCTGGTTATTACGTGTGCCTTCTTTTGAAAAGTCTTAATCGAATAAAATCCTGTTGCTTCTCCTTGTTTCCTTTAGCTAATTTCTCCTCCTGTAAACACCAGAGTGCTAGCATTCCTTTCATCCGTGGCAGGTGATGCTCTGACACGGCATCTAGGTGTAATTCTGCCTGCTATGATGTCTGCACTGAAAGAGAAGCTGGGCACCACCGATGAACAGCTGGTAAGTTCATCTTTTGATAAGTTCAGTTATAAACAATGTTTCAGTGTTGTTAGATAAATGGATAGTACAGTAAAACTCCAATGGTCCAGCATCTGATAGTCAGTCACTCCTGATGATCTGGCACCATCAGGAACCCGGAAGTGCTCCGGGCAGCCGGACCATTGGAGCTGCTCTGCCCGCAGCTTCCCCGATTCAGCCACTTTCTGCCGCAGGTGTCCCCAATTCAGCCATTGCTGAAACTGACCAGCAGTGGCTGAATGGGGACGCCTGGGGCAGAGCCAGACTATCGGAAGGGGGGACTATGAGGGGTTTGGGGTGGCATCCCCCCACCCCACCCCAGACTCCTCATACCCCCACCTTCTGATAGTCCGGCAAATCTGATAATCCGGCACCCCCTGGGTCCTAAAGGTGCCGGATTATCGGAAGTTTACTGTACATCTGAAGTCAATTCATTATCCCCTTGACTGAATGGTATATCGGGTTGGGAAATTTAGACTATCTGAACCTAAATGTTTTTGGCCAGGAGTGTATCCAGTCAATTGGATCTATTTGTAATCTTAGAAAACGGGGGTATTAGATGAGAGAGAAAAATATATTCGTTTTCTTACAGTTCTTACTGAGTGGGGCTCTATATCTATACTGTTTCATGCGATTTCAAAACTATCTAATCTGCAGAGTCCAGAGTGTTTCTGTCCTATGAGTTGATTGGTTTTGTCTGTCTAATATTTAGTTACATCAAGCTAAGGTGATGGGTTCATTGCCTACTCTTCGTTGTCCGATAACAGATCTTTCAGTCTCCTAGCACAGAAATTGCCGTGGGGCTCTCTAAATAGTTGACATTCCCTTTGGTAGGATGAGACAGACCATGGAACTGCTTGGATCAAGCTGAAATAGTGCGTGCCAAGGGCCAGTGATCCTGGACCTCTGTGCTGAAGATGGAGCAAAATGCAACCACACTTATTTTATGTAATTTAAGTGTTGTCCTGTGGCTCTTTGGAAGCTACCTATGTAGCTTCTTAGTTGGGCAAAGTGTGGGCAGTTCTTAGGTTTAGAGTGAATCTACCTGGTACTCACCTCTCCATCTTTCAAAAATGGTGTTTCATCCTTAGTTTATGCCCTGCATTATCATTAAAGAGGACAATCCATGGTTAAAATTAATTTCTAGCCAATAAGAAATTGATTTGGGCTCAAGATGGACAACAAGATGGTGATTTGATTAGTTTCCATGAACAGTAATTAACAATATATCCTGGAGGATAATGGTCTGTAGGGACAACAGCATGAAACCTTAAGGCATGTGCGGCTTTTATTCTGGTTGAAAGTTAACATGAAGATCATTCTAACTTTTTAGGAAATGGCTAACTGCCAGGCTGTAATCCTGTCTGTGGAAGATGATGCCGGGCAGAGAATTATCATTGAAGATCTATTAGAAGCCACTCGCAGCACTGAGGTGGGAATGAGGCAGGCAGCAGCTGTAATTTTAAACATCTACTGCTCCAAATCAAAAGCAGACTGCACTGCCCATCTCAGGAACCTGGTCTCAGGCTTGATCAGACTTTTTAATGATACCAACCCTGTGGTTCTGAATGAAAGCTGGGATGCTCTCAATTCCATCACCAAGGTGAGATATGGGGCAGGGCTGTTGCAGTGATACAGGCTGGGAGGGAATGGGCTTGTTCAAATTCTCCTACAAGAAAACACTCTGTTTTCACTGAAAATGAGGTTTTGTTGCAAAGACTGTAGTATTTAAGGACTAAGAACTCCACTATATTTTAGTAATATGGGTGAAAGGTCATGGGGACTTAAATGAGTGGCTTGTCCCTTGGCAAACATGAGAAGAATTCAGAAATTGAGGTGATTAATGTGCTGTTACACAGTCTTTGCCCTCTCTCACTTTTACAGAAATTAGATGCTGGAAACCAGCTGGCCCTCATTGAGGATCTACACAGGGATATTCGTATGGTGGGGAATGAGGCCAAAGGAGAACACATGCCAGGATTCTGTATTCCGAAGAAGGTACATGATCAGTATGGAGTGTGGAGCCGTGATTTACCACAATAATACTGTCATGTCTTTCCAGTTACCTCGTTTATGTGCTTTTTTTTGTAGCTCTCAAAATATTGTAATACTGGGGCATTCTAAACTTTTAGGTGTAGAGACTTAACTTGAGCCCAGTTTTCTTTTGTGATTCCTGTGACAGGGAGTGACTTCTATTCTTCCGGTGCTGCGGGAGGGAGTTCTAACCGGTAACCCAGAGCAGAAAGAGGAAGCTGCAAAGGCCTTAGGACTGGTTATCAAACTGACCTCTGCAGAAGCCCTAAAGCCCTCTGTTGTGAGCATTACTGGACCTCTTATTCGGATCTTGGGAGATCGGTTCAGTTGGAATGTCAAGGTGGCTTTGCTTGAAACATTAAGCCTTCTGTTGGCCAAGGTAAGATTCCAAACCACTGGTCAACTGCTTTGTATTTCCTTTTTGTCAACTCAGAACTCTCCAGATTTGCTAACCTTCTCTAACTAAGTCCCACTGGGCTTTTCTGTACCATTTTTAGTTATAAAGAAAACTCATGTCATAGGTGTGAAAATCTTCAGTGATGTCTCCTTATAGCTAACTTAATGAAGAAACCATGAAAGTAAACCAAGTACAGACCTAAATGTGTAATTCTCTGCTTTATGACAACGGAATTCAGTCCTTGCATGGTTTTCCCATTTTTTACCTATGATAGGGAAATTCTTTATCTGGGTGGGAGATTCGAGCAAGTGCTGATTTTATCATTCTAGCTAAGTGCTATAGTCATACCACACTTTTTTTCTTCAGATTTTGCCTTTTTAGTTTTTGTTTCACATCTGTGTACGTGTGATTCCTTCCCAAATCTATGTCTGCACAGGTTGGGATTGCCCTGAAACCATTCTTGCCTCAGCTACAGACTACCTTCACCAAAGCGTTACAAGATTCAAACCGCACTGTCCGCCTTAAGGCTGCCGATGCTCTTGGTAAATTGATTGCCATCCATATTAAGGTGGATCCTCTTTTTATTGAGCTGTTGAATGGAATCCGTTCCAGTGGGGATTCTGGCATCAGGTAAGCTGTGGAAAATGGACAGGGCATGAACTGTTTGGCAGTAATGGGAAGGAAGGCACGTTTAATAGTTTTTAAAAACAACAGAGATTATCTAATTTTGGAGCAGATGCCAAGATTATAATAATACTGTGAAAGACTCCAAAGTTCGTTCCCTATGTAGCGTTTGTTACACTCCCTATGGACATGATATTTTCCTAATTCCAAGTCTACCTATCAGTGAAATGTACAACTCGTTAAGAAATGAATGTCCTCCTGGAGATTTTTCCTCTTTGTGAACGGTCCAAGGTCCTTCTCAGCAGTAAGAATGACAACCTGATATGTACCAGTGCAGGCATTGCTTGGTGCTGATGGTTCCTGCCATTGGAGAAGCCCTTCAAATTTAGGCACACTCACCCTTGTGCCAAGTCTACCTATCAGTGAAATGTACAACTCGTTAAGAAATGAATGTCCTCCTGGAGATTTTTCCTCTTTGTGAACGGTCCAAGGTCCTTCTCAGCAGTAAGAATGACAACCTGATATGTACCAGTGCAGGCATTGCTTGGTGCTGATGGTTCCTGCCATTGGAGAAGCCCTTCAAATTTAGGCACACTCACCCTTGTGCTAATCATTGTGTATGCGAATCGGTTTTTGGCAGCCAGTTCCTGGTTCTTCTTTGATATTCTGTGTACAGAGCTGGGGGGAGGGGGAGAGATACAGAAATTGCAGCCTTGAATTGTAACTTGTAGTTGTTCACTACAGAGACACCATGCTGCAAGCTTTACGATTTGTAACACAAGGAGCTGGTGCTAAAGTGGATGCAACGATTAGGAAGAACATCACCCTAGTGCTACTGGGAATGCTGGGCCACGATGAGGTATTGTAACAAAGTGCTCCTGGGGGATATCTGGTGCTAGGGACGTTAGATATCAATTAATTGACTAGTCGAGTAACCTCATGAATTCTTATCAGTTACTCGACTATTCTATAGTCCCCAGGGGCAGGGCCAACCATCAGTGTGCTCCGGCCCCACTTGCCACCCCGCAGTGCTGCTTTTCTGTCAGAGGCTGTAGCATGGAGAGTCAAGAGGGAGCTAGTCCACAAGGAGAGCTAGTTTAAAAACCAGCTCCCCTCACAGACCGGCTGCCTGTCTCCCCATGCTGCTGCTTCTGATACACAGGAAGCAGTGCGAGGGGGCTGCAAGCCCCCT